GTGTGTGGCCCCTTGGTGTGTGTGTGGCCCCTTGGTGTGTGTGCTGGCCCCTTGGTGTGTGTGTGTGGCCCCTTGGTGTGTGTGTGTGGCCCCTTGGTGTGTGTGTGTGGTCCCTTGGTGTGTGTGTGTGGCCTTGAATTTGTGTGTGTGGCCCTTGTTGTGTGTGTTGGGTGTGTGGCCCCTTGGTGTGTGTGTGTGGCCTTGGTGTGTGTGTGGCCCCTTGGTGTGTGTGTGTGGCCCCTTGGTGTGTGTGTGTGGCCCTTTGGTGTGTGTGTTTTGTGGCCCTTGGGTGTGTGTGTGTGGCCCCAGGTGTGTGTGTGGGGCCCTTGTGTGTGTGGCCCTTGGTGTGTGTGTGTGGCCTTGGTGTGTACTAGTAGTATGTATGAATATAATGTTACTGTGTGTATACTAATATTTATTTTGTATACTGTGTGTGTGTGTGTGTACGTGTGTGTGTGTGTGTGTGTACGTGTGTTGGTATGTATGTAAGTGTTGTTTTAAATAATCTGTCTGTCTGTCTGTCTGTCTCTAGCTTGGCATTATGACTGTCTATCTGTCTAATAGTCTATCTGTCTCTAGCTTGGCATTAATGACTGTCTATCTGTCTATCTGTCTAATAGTCTGTCTGTCTCTCAATAGGTTTGTTTTTGCGTCTAATCTATCTGTTTTATGGTTAAGTTAAATTAAGTTTGGTTAGCTGAGGTTAGGTTAGGTTAAATTAAGTTAGCTGAGGTTAATTTTGGTTATATTAGGTTAAATTAAGTTAGCTGAGGTTGGTAAATTGTTAGCTGAGGTTAATTTTGGTTATATTAGGTTAAATTAAGTTAGCTGAGGTTAGGTTAGGTTATATTAGGTTAAATTAAGTTAGCTGAGGTTAGGTTTGGTTATATTAGGTTAAATTAAGTTAGCTGAGGTTAATATTGGTTAGGTCATTAATACACCTACAATATACGGTACGATAACTCCTACAGCTAACTCTGCCGGCAACACTCGTCCGCCCGCGCAGTCCTCAAGGTCGGGACAAGCCGTGATGGCCGCTTGAGCAACTTGTCTTTAAATCTCTCTCATATTTTGTTTCCCCGAGGTTATTTGTCCTCGTGGTGATGTGCCGTTATATTGTGGCGTTAGGGGAGCTTCTTGTGGTTTTAGAGGGCGCCATTAACTAGAGGGGGGTTTATATGGATGATTACGTGGATAACAGACCATTAGATTACATTAACTAGAAGGGGTTTAGTGGACGATTGACGCCATTAACTAGTGGTGGTGAGTTGAGATGGACGATTAGACGCCATTAACTGGTGGTGAGTTGAGATGGACGATTAGACGCCATTAACTAGTGGTGGTGAGTTGAGATGGACGATTAGACGCCATTAACTGGTGGTGAGAGATGGACGATTAGACGCCATTAACTAGTGGTGGTGAGTTGAGATGGACGATTAGACGCCATTAACTAGTGGTGGTGAGTTGAGATGGACGATTAGACGCCATTAACTAGTGGTGGTGAGTTGAGATGGACGATTAGACGCCATTAACTAGTGGTGGCGAGTTGAGATGGACGATTAGACGCCATTAACTAGTGGTGGCGAGTTGAGATGGACGATTAGACGCCATTAACTAGTGGTGGTGAGTTGAGATGGACGATTAGACGCCATTAACTAGTGGTGGCGAGTTGAGATGGACGATTAGACGCCATTAACTAGTGGTGGTGAGTTGAGATGGACGATTAGACGCCATTAACTAGTGGTGGTGAGTTGAGATGGACGATTAGACGCCATTAACTAGTGGTGGCGAGTTGAGATGGACGATTAGACGCCATTAACTAGTGGTGGCTACTTTAGATTGCTTAGTTCACCTGTTGTTGATTTGATACCTTGATGATTTCTGTGTGGTTAGGTTACGTGATTTCTGTGTGGTTAGGTTACGTTGGGTTAGGGTTGGGTTTGGTTAGGTTAGATTGTGTTTGGTTAAGTTAGGTTAAATTAGGTTTAGCATTGGGTTAAGTTAGGTTAGGTTACGTTGGGTTAGGTTAAGTTAGGTTAAATTAGGTTTAGCATTAGGTTAAGTTAGGTTAGGTTAAGTTAGGTTAAATTAGGTTTAGCATTAGGTTAAGTTAGGTTAAATTAGGTTTAGCATTAGGTTAAGTTAGGTTAGGTTAAGTTAGGTTAAAGTCCCTATCAACAAAACCCCAACTTCAAGGCATACATGACGTCATCCAGGGGTCAGGTCACATACATTGGGTGACTCGTGAAACACCACTAAACACGTCACCGGGTCTTTGTGTTGACAGCAATACTCCGAAGTCCTTGTATTCCTCCACTGGTGACCTCTGTTGATCCAGGTCATGTAAAAGACTTTCTTGTTCCCCCTTGTTCCAGGTTGTGTAAAAGCTGCCACGGTTTGGTTAGGTCAGGTTGGTGTGGTTAGGTTTGGTTTGGTTAGGTTTGGTTTGGTTAGGTTAGGTTTGGTTAGGTAGGTCAGGTTGGTGTGGTTAGGTTAGGATGGTATGGTTAGGTTAGGATGGTATGGTTAGGTTAGGATGGTATGGTTAGGTTAGGATGGTATGGTTAGGTTAGGATGGTATGGTTAGGTTAGGGGCTCTGCATTGTCGTTTCCATTTTCTGAAGTATATGAGAATGGAGGAAACAGTAACTATTGGCCCATACTAGGCAGTCCTAACCTAACCTAACTACACCAACCTAACCTAACCTTACGACTCTGTCTCCTGGATGACCCGGCACATTAGACACAATATATCTAGTTTCAAACAGTTGCTAATATGTTTTGGAGTTCCCGGTTGAACACTCCGTCTTTAAGTTGGATAAGTTTAGGTTTACGAGGGAGATAGGAAGGAACTGGTTCACAAATAGGGTGGTGGACGAGTGGAACAAGCTTAGCAACTTTGTAGTAAGTGCTGGAACGCTGGAAAGTTTTAAAAGGAGGCTGGATAGATTCATGGATGATAGAGAATGGTAGTAACTCTGGACAGGGCTGCCATGCACAGACCAACCAGACTATTGCAGACTCCTTATTTTCTTATGTTCTTATGTCTATGTAGCCGTGACAGCTGTGTAGATTACCGGGCTATTCAACCGGTTCCGGTAAAATATGTACACGGTATTATATTCATAGTTTTGTCTAGATTTTTTTGGTCGAATCGTCTCAAATATTTCCTGTAAGACCTTGAATGTAAAACAGAGTAACCTTGTGAGAGCCTTGGGAGAGAGTCTTAGTGTTAAGGTAGAGTCTCAGTGTTAAGTGAAGGTATCTAGTTAAGGTAGAGTCTCAGTGTTAAGTGAAGGTATCTAGTTAAGGTAGAGTCTCAGTGTTAAGTGAAGGTATCTAGTTAAGGTAGAGTCTCAGTGTTAAGTGAAGGTATCTAGTTAAGGTAGAGTCTCAGTGTTAAGTGAAGGTATCTAGTTAAGGTAGAGTCTCAGTGTTAAGTGAAGGTATCTAGTTAAGGTAGAGTCTCAGTGTTAAGTGAAGGTATCTAGTTAAGGTAGAGTCTCAGTGTTAAGTGAAGGTATCTAGTTAAGGTAGAGTCTCAGTGTTAAGTGAAGGTATCTAGTTAAGGTAGAGTCTCAGTGTTAAGTGAAGGTATCTAGTTAAGGTAGAGTCTCAGTGTTAAGTGAAGGTATCTAGTTAAGGTAGAGTCTCAGTGTTAAGTGAAGGTATCTAGTTAAGGTAGAGTCTCAGTGTTAAGTGAAGGTATCTAGTTAAGGTAGAGTCTCAGTGTTAAGTGAAGGTATCTAGTTAAGGTAGAGTCTCAGTGTTAAGTGAAGGTATCTAGTTAAGGTAGAGTCTCAGTGTTAAGTGAAGGTATCTAGTTAAGGTAGAGTCTCAGTGTTAAGTGAAGGTATCTAGTTAAGGTAGAGTCTCAGTGTTAAGTGAAGGTATCTAGTTAAGGTAGAGTCTCAGTGTTAAGTGAAGGTATCTAGTTAAGGTTGTCGTATTTTCAGATCATCGTACGCTCCTCGTTTTGTGGTTTTTTGGAGCGAATCGTCCATAATTTGGGTTCGTATCTCCCCGACAGGACGTAAAGCATCAATGATGATCTTGATGGCTCATGAAAACCTTGGAGGGAGCCATAAATGTGACGCTAAAACTCCATAAGCGATCCCTTGCCGCTATACCAACGCCAGCATGTAAACACGCCCTGAAGGTCGCCATTGTTGAGAAAATTACCACGAACACACCTCAAATCCACATTCTTTTATTAACAAACCACAAACAATTATTCTTTATCTTACTAAACATTATTAAAATACCATAGATT